ATTTTGTTTTAACGTAGGTTTAACATTAGATTTTGTTAAATCAATATTTATCTGTTTTTGAAAATTTGAAAATTGTTTATGATACATCAATTTATATATTATTAAATAGTTAATATAAAATGGATAATCATAAACAAGTTTTAGGTATCAATGGTTTGTATAGTTTGTGTACAATATATTAATTGTATTTTACCGACTTGATTATACACTCCCTACACGAGTAACTAACCTACTGTATGTTTTCTTAGTAAATGTTGGCGGTAAAGTGGAAAGAAAAATAATTTGCGCTATTGTGATAAAAATAAGTAATTTTATAAGAAGTTACGCCAGGTTTGTAATGTTTTGTTATATCGTTTAAAGTGTTTTTTTTTTCAATTTTATTATATAATGCGTTTATGTGTATTATTGTGATGGCTTTAGAAACGAAACAATAGTGGGAGGAGCCTAGAACTAAAATCAAATGATTTTCAATAGAACAAAGGGTTAGATTAGGGTAAGGTTTCATTATGAAATCATTCTATCAGTCTTAGATTCAGGTGTGTTAAATTATAGAAACGCCATTTTGCCGTTGAATGAATTGTAAAAAAATATATATTAATTTACATATAAATGACTATTTAACAATTTCTATTATAATCATGTATTTTAATCATTATGTATGATAATATTTTACAGTGTGTTTACGAGTGGTTTTTAAGGGAGACACTGGTCGTGTAATAGACTTTTTAATAATATGTATTATGCATGTGTTGTGTGTTCAATTTATATTATGCAATGCACAAAAGGCAGAGATACTCAAATTATATTTATTTTATTTATTTTTGTTAAATGTCTTTTTGTTAAATTTATTTTTGAAACTGTGCGCAAAACATGTTAATTATTTTTGTTCACGAAAATTGTATAGAAAACGAGTATTTATCATTAAAATAAAACATACCTTATGTGTAATAATAGTTATAACTTATAATACATAACGGTACGGAACTGCGTTGGTGAGGTTTAAGTATAAAATGTAATATTGTACCTACGCTCGTATTTTCTTTTTCTTTTTTTTTTCTTTTGCAGCCTTTACATATTTATTACGAGAGCTATAAATTATTATATATATAATATACTATAGCTGTCCGTGTCAAATAACACCCTCTCGACACTATTATATAATGACGAGAGAGTTTGAAATGGTCTGAAATGATTGACAGACAAATATTTACCAAAGAGTAGGCAACAGCCGTACAGGTACAAAAAAAAAAATAAATAAATACAATATCATATTATACAAACCTGTATGTACGCACCTATAAATAGGTGTATATATTTTTTTTTTATAACTAAATTAAACACGACACGCCGTTCCTCTTCAATATCGTTGATGATCATTTTCTTTACAGGCTATAATATTATATAATGACAAGTGATTGTTTTCCAACCGGAAGTATATCGATATTATTTCTAGAGGATAACCATTTGATACGTACACGAAAACTAACATGTATATGATATATAATACGGTTTTTATTTGATACAAAACGAAGATTGGTTTTAACAGGTATTAAGTTTTTAGGATAGGTTTAATAATAGTCATTACGTGTTTTGGAAACTTAATACACTAACTTAATACACATATATATATATGTTTCTATTTCAACTTTTAATTTTCAGTGATTCCGACGGGTCCATTTCGTTCTAATTTTTCGTACACTGTACATGCGCGAGTTCAAAATAATAAAATATTTTAGGTCGGTGAATGAATAAAACATTATATAATATAATAGTATGTTTTACACGCGATAAATTACATATAATGTGTGACCTTATAAATAACTGATATTACAACTATACGAAGAATAAATATTTACAAATAAGTCCGCGTGTAATGGCGATATACACATACAAATATTATATTGGTAGACTAAAGTACGAATACAATTATCTATTCATAATTACAATATATGATAATATTATTTAGGTATATATTATGTAGTTATGAATAAATGAGAAGAAATCCCTAAAAATAATACAACTTAAAATAATTATAAAATAAAACAATTATTTAATATATAATAATATAGTACATTGTCGTATAATATGGATATTTGAAATTCAAATTTGGTTTTTTTCTACCGTACATATTATATATTATAGTTAATTAAGAACGATCTCAAGTTAATATTTATGTTTTAACAAAACGTAATATAATACAACATATTATATATATATATATATTTTTTTTATGTTATTTATTATATAAAATCGAAGGAATGGATTTAATTTATGTTTTTTTTTTTTTTTTTGTATGAAAAATGTATAATAATATAATTAACACGCTTAGTATTTCTATAATATCGGAGTAAGTGCATGGTTTGACAACAAATATTTTGTTAAAGAGAGTGAAAAAAAAAAATAAAGCCGTAGAATTAAAACGTATGATTTATTATTATATTAGTAGCTTAACAATGTAATACATCGAGTAGACAGCGACGATGATATACGTAATATTATAAACAAAAATATCGCATTTTTATCTAGACGACTGCAATCGCATGTGCAACGCACCGTACACCAATACACTACCATAGAGTAATGAATATATTATCTATTATATTCGTCGTCCGAGACTATACAATACGTATGCACATGACGGTGCAGTATCGCGTGGAGTTCCATCGTGTGATGGATAACATCTGCGGTTTTATCTTGAAACGTTGTCAGATCTTGCCGGCACATCCCTTATACGCTCGTACCTATCAGTGGGGTGGCGAGGGGTGTGCAACTCTCTTCGAAATTTCGGGAAAATTAAAAAATTCTTTCAGCGTTGGGTACGTATCTATTGTGTAAGACGACTTGTATAAGTGTATTGATGCAAAAGTTTAAAATGTTATTTATTCACACGGTTCAACATAATAGTATGCGGAACTTTGGAGCGATCCTAGTTAAGATTCGTCTACATAAAAAATTATCAGTGCCTCTTTCTCAAAGTGAATTCCCACCTATTCGCTACTGGTATAGTGATTTATTATATTTTATATATGTATAATTATTGGAAGTTGTGCGCACGCGCTTACCGATCGAAATAATATAATATGATGTGACATTTTTTCGTACTCGAATCGCGTTCGTATGATATTATTAATATTGTTGCAGCGTACAATATTGCATTTAGTCGCAGAGTCACGCTCGAATAATAGTGCAATGCAGTAGGCGGACGGTAGTGTTCCATTCTAAGGTTTTTGACGGGAAATAAAACCTGATAACACAGTATTTTTCTCCGCGTACACTATAATATTAACACACGATCTCGTTCTTGACCCTTGGGAAATACCATAAATCCGTTTCGTAAAAAAATATAATTTTTTTCTTATCACACATATTCCGGATCGAGTATTACTGTGTTAACAGAGCCGTATAATAATATTATAATTAAAAATTATTACAAATATAGTTATATCGTATTTAAATCACTAATCGCAATCGGCGGTACCTATAATTTTTTTTACAGTTTAAGTGACCGATGTAGGTTTTTACGCGATTTGCGTTGTTTTTTTTTTTCTAATTAATTTCTGAAAAATTCAGAAAAAAAAAGTTCATTTTGATTTTTATTTATTGGTGAGTATAAGCTGTAACTTACGGGTTCAGACGTTTCCGTTTCGCAACGCCGTCAGTAGTCATTGTATTTTTTTGTATTTAAGTCATCATTTAATATTATTATTATACATCATAGTCCTACTGTATGTGCTTAAATTTAAATCGAACGAAATAATATTTTCGATTGTTGTGTATGTTATTATTGCAATTATAAGAATAATGTATTATGCGAAAACCACAGACAAAAATAAAATATCTTAAAGACGAAAAAACATTATTATTATTATTACGGCAACACGAATAAATAATAATATTAATTATGATTTTCATCATTAACATAACATTATACTCATCTATGTCTAAATCTATGTGTATTTAATAATCGTAAAATATATTATAATCTTTATAATATTATGTTTAATGGTTATGTATAATTTGGGGTGGCCGCGCGTCCCGTTCCTCACGTCCGTATGTGCGATCCACCAGACCCGTCGACTCTCGTTTCGCGTTGAAATCGGGAGCCGCGTAAATCTCTGAGAGATTATTATTATTTTTTTTTTTTTTTTTTTGCTCGTCGATAAAATCATACGCAGTTATACCGCGGATAACAGTTAATGTTTATTATATAATATTATTGTATGTACGGTTTTAATAAACGGTTTTACGTGTGTGTTGCGGCGTGCGCGACATGAAACATTGTGATTTCTTTCAAATCTTGTGCTTAAAAAAACAAAAAACCAAAAAAAAAAAAAAACGCGGACCGCGGTTCGAAAATGAGCGATACGTTTTCGTGTACAATACCCGCCGGCGTAGTAATGTCGTTCTCGCGAGTAATACGCGACGCGTGCCCGTACGGAGCGCGTAACGGCGGAGTGGATGTTTTAATGGGAAATTGTGTTTTCACCGACCGGCGTAACACATCAAACGCGTAGACGGCGGGTAAGTAATTGGAGATTTCGAGTGATTTGAAAACCGATATAGATTCGTTGGAAAACAGCGATGGAATATTATTTCATTCGTGTCGCTACTGTACACCTACGAACCTCCATGACGGCGGCATATCCGTCCAAATAGTTATTGTGCTCGCATCGTTAACATATTTCGTGCTCGACGTTTTGGCCACCCCGCACACCCGCAAATCCGTGCGCAGAGACGTACACACGTCACACGCACACACACGTGCACACACAGACACACACACACACACACACACACAGACACAGACACACACACGCACACAGACACACAGACACAAAGACACACACACGTGCACACACAGACACACAGACACAAAGACACACAGACACACAGACACAAAGACACACAGACACACAGACACACACACACAGACACACACACACACACACACACACACGCAGACACACACACACACACACACACACACACACACACACGCAGACACGTAATTATAAAATGTAAGTATGTAAGTCTATATAATATTATATCGTTGTCGTTTATAATATTATCATCGTCGCTCGGCAGGCGTTGTTGGCCTAAGAGCGACGCGAACGGACGATGGCGAGGACGGTGGCGAGGACGGGTAGAGCTGACAGACACAGCGGCGCCGGGAGACCCGAGGCCGCCGCCGCCGACTTGGTCGATTCCCAGAGCACGCGATCCGAATTTTGGGCCGCGTCCGGCGCCCCGTCCACGAGCGGCTGCTCCTTGCCGGGGCACGTGTCCTCGTTCAGCGATATGACGGCGATCAGCTGCGTATCGTCTGACAGCCTTGGCGACCCGTCGGCCGCGTCCATCGTTTCTCCGCTGCTGCCGACCGATTTGTCTGCGGCCGTCTCGGCGTCGACCTTGTTAGCGCCGTAACCGCCGCCGTAACCGTTTTTCGGGCCCGCCACTTTCAGATCGGACGTCAAGTCGCCGTCGCCGTCGGCCGTTTCGTTCATCTGACACTGCGCGGCCGACATCTCGCGCGCCACTTGTTCGTTGTTCGTTTCGATGGCCAGTTGGTTCATCCACAGCAGACCGCAGTCGCATTCGAACTTGTTACCTGTGAACGAGAGACAAACCAAAAGAAAAACATGAGAAATTAGTACAATGTATTTACTTTTTTTAAAACAAATATATTTTTTAATAAATTTCTTTGACGTTTATATATAAATATGAATGTATAGGGTCATAGTTGATAGCTGATTTGAAAAAAATTATTAAAACACTAGAAAATTATGTATTCCCTAGAAACAAAAGTTCAAAAAAATAAAAATATGAAATAATTTATTAAAATTTATTTCAAAAATTAAAAAAATATATATTTTGTTAAACTTGAAATAAAGATAATACGTGTTGTCTGTGGATTGGTATCTACTCTCTTTTATCCATTAATGAAAGTTATTTCATTTTTGACAATATAATTATCAAATCATATATTTAAATATGAAGAAAAATTAAATATTACAAGTAGGTATTTAAATATTGCAAATTATTCAAATATCTAAAATGATCTCTCTGTAATTTAAAACGTATATTCATATTGTTACTCAATATTTTTAAAATGTAGCTGCTGTTCAATAGTACAATTATTTTAATTGCGACACGGCGTATTAGATAGTCAATTTAGCTACACCACATTTTATGTCAATATTTTCGTTCACTTGTAATAATAAATTTTTACTTTTTATTTTTAGTTTACTATTACACAACGAACGGTAATAATTTAAAAACTAAAGAATTTTTAATAAATCTAACTGTAGTTTAGATATTTATGAATGCTAATTCTTAACTTGGTCTTATAGTTGTATTGTCTGTGCTAAATATATTTTTTTATGTTGTTGACAAATGTTAGTTTATATTTTAGATTTGTTGAGCTGTATAAATTAATTTCAAAACTTTTATAAATAATATATACATTATATTTTAAGAGAAGAGAGTAAGGTATTGGTTTAACAATTTATAATTGCGCTTTTTGAGGTCAGTACTTTTGATGAAAAAGTTTAATGTAGCCCATTCTAAGAATGAAAATGGAATACTGATTGTATTTAATGAAACACATATTTTTTGTATAAACTTATGAAAATAACTGAAAAATTTGTAAAAATTCAACAACGATATTATATTTATTAAGTAAAATAAATGTTATAAATTAGAAATACTATTTTTTTTGAACAAATTTTCTTTCGGCTAGACTGAATTCTGTTTAAAACTTAAAAACACATTGTCTAGTGATTATCTACTAACTAAAAATTATAAAAACTTAAATAACAAAAAATTATAAATAATAACACCGTCAAGACTATATATTCGTGTAACAATTGCATTTCCTTCATTTATAGTTGTGCCTATAGCATTCAGATTTACGTTACGGTAAGTCGGGTTATCGTCGCATGTATTTTGCATATATAATTGTACCTATATATATATATATATATTATATGGTATTATTAGTATGGCTACAATGGTGAAGCGGTATCTAACGTATATTTATATATTATACTGATACCCATAATTCGGTAAATCTAATTTTTTAAGACACAATAAAATACTTAGATAACGTCAAGAAAACGGTATATACATCTAGACACTATAATAATATGTGTATAGCAAAGTATAGGTAATACTTTTGCACATCGTAAATAGTATAGTATTATATTTTTATAATGCGAGCATATTACAGTTTGTTAAATAATAATATATCAAAAAATTTTGAATAGATATGGTACGAATGAAAATTTTGAAAATGCGCGTATGTTAGAAACTATAAAAGTACAAAAGGAGAGGTATTCTTAGAATTTTATCATTGCTTACCACGGCAATATAAAAAAACTATAAAAATGAATGAAAAAAAAAAATTATGTTTTATGTATTATATTAAGCTGCAAGTAATGTGAGTGTTAAGTCTTCTAGGTTTTATTCATATAACAAAATTTAATTTTTTGATAAATTGCAGTGATTAAAATGTATATTAATATGATATGCTATAATTTATTATATTATGTGAAATATGCTTGAAGATCTGTTGTATATTTTATTCAGTTTAAATATAATATATATATTAAATTATAATTTTTTCAATACATTATTTTTTAATGACAAAAATAGTTTATCAATAGCATTGAAAAGATTTTAAAAATGTTGACATGAAGTATAGTTTTTTTTCTTATCTTAATAACATCATATTACCCTAAAAACAATTTAAAACCCATTTAAATATAAATACAATTATAATTAGGTAAAATATAACAATTAATTTCTTCTTAAAATAAAAAAAAAAAAAAAAAAAAAAATGGTTAGGTTAGGTTAAATAAAATGTTTATTGAAGAATTTAAAAACCTATTAAAAACGGAAATTACCTTACTTTAATTTTTCTACCTTTTTGATTTTTTTTTTTTTTTAATTGGATTATTATTCAATTGCAGATATATTATTAAAATAATGGAGAATATAATATTAAAAAATATTAATAGACAACTGCCAAAAAATTAAATAGGAAATAACGACAGTAATCAAAATTATAATCCTTACCTGAAGTATAGGATTTATAACTTTGATTTTCTAAACTGTAAAATTGTGAAATAATAAAATATTAACTGAGAGAAAAAAATATGTAAATTTAAATATTTCAAATAACAGTTTTCGGTTAAAAATGTTATTTTAATTAAATGCAAGAACTAGGAGTAGGAAAATTTAAATTCCAATCATCCACTCATAGTAGAAAAGCTGCATGGCAGGGAAAAAACTAATATTATATGATAATATATCTTCCTAATAATACGCATTTGATTTTTAAACAACATAATAATTTATAAATTAAGAATATTTTATCTCCTATTGTATAGCCTTTATTTTTCTTTATAATATTGATATCTCAATAACAGATTATAGTGCAAAAAATTGATAAACGATTGTAATTACATATTAATAATTCACAGTATGATATTCTTAACACTAAACACTGAAGTTAGTTAAAAGTCATAACATTTTTTCGATATTAAAATATGGTAGGATCAATTATAAAGCATAACTAATACTTGAGTGTATTGTCATTTAGCTTCTAAAATTAAATTATGTGTATAAAAAGCTTGCATTTCTATAAAAAATTGTCCATTCACTCGTTATTTAATATTTATAAATCGATATTTTTCTAAACTTTTGTAATTTATTTTAACTCAGATAGTGATTTTATTGTCAGTTTTAGAGCTAGGTGAATACTAAAAATTTCTAACTATTGATGCTCAAAATAAACTATTTCACATAAATAAGTATTTTAAAATATATTAATTCTTATAAGTGTCCACTGTTAAAAGAGTTAAGTACTATATATTACGTGTTAATTGATACATATTTCAAATTATGGTAATAATTTATTACAGTTCCGCGAAAATAATTGCAATGCACCGAAATGGATTAAAATGTTAATAATCCAATTAACGCTTTTTCAGTTGTATTAACTGTATACGTTTTCCTGGACATTGCCAAGAGACAATTTTCGTGTTCGATTTACTAATATAATATATTTAAATAATACATAATCTATAAAATATGTAAGCATAAACAAAATAGGAAATATAAAAGGTGATCGACTCTAATGAAAATTCAATTAATACCATGCGGACAACACAATGTTTCTACAGTATTTCTTTCTATTTGGAAAAATAGCGGTATCTAAATTAGGTATTGGAAATAGCAATAGCATGACCAACAAAAATTAACAAAGCAATTGTGCATTTTTTTTTAAATATTATGCTCATAGTTTCGCGTTGTTTAGTATTATATCTTACAGTCTTTTAAAAGTATTCAAGTACAAATACATACCTAATATGTATTAATTTCGAAAAATATTTGAAATACGTATTTGATTACTCGGTAAGAAATTGTATAAAAAAGAAATAGAAAATTCAAATTTTGTAAAAAATATATTTATTTTTTTTTTATAGATCAACTGAATCACATTTGATTAAAATGTTCATTTTTTAAATAAATATTATAGATAATTTATACCAATTATTTTATGTATAACATTTATTACTCATCTTTTTTCTTGGTCGGCTTATCGATTTATCAACTGAATACAATTATTATAAAAAAATATTTTGAATATTAATTTTTTTATTGGACGTGATTAAAATAAAAAATAAGAAAACCTATATAAATAAAAATAAAAATAAAAAAAATTGAAAATTAGTTTTTGATTTTTAGTATAAATATTACGAAAAAGTATTTAAAATATTTTGTACGAGGACATTTTTTAAAAATATTTGACATACGTATTTGTGTACTTATTTGAAATAATTTGAATAATTTTATTCAAGCACTTTACAAGACTGATAACATCATTAAGCAACAAAATAGTAAATACCTAAATGTCGATCTTAAAATCATTTATAACCGATTTTCGCTCTCTACGCCCATAATGAAACAATATCAAACAATGTATATTATGGATAACGAAAAAATATCTTTAGAAATAGCGTTTACAAAGGTTTTCAAAAAAAAAAAAATAATGGATAAGAATATACAACAAAAATTTTACAAACAATGACGTACGTTCGCTCTGTACAATGTTATTATTATTATTATTATTATTATTATTATTATTAAAATAAACGTGACTCTATCGTATAAAAATTATTTAAAAATTTCCAAAACTTCACTGCAGATGTTTGTGTATTGCATATATGTATAATATGTGCAGTCATTTCAAACCATTGTCAAATACCAATTTCATTTGGTGCGTCGTCAATCCGATTAAACTTATGCGAATTCACCGCCACACGCGGTTTCTTTGTGTACACCACACATAGTTTTCATCAGTAATTAGTTTAGAGTTGTCCCAAAGCACCCACAGGCTGTTTGTGATTTGGTATATCATACACCACGTCTTTCGCATGACGATTTCCCTCGGCTGTGAATATTTTTGTTTTGTTCACATAATATTATATAATGTGAACGAATCCTTTGTGTTACGACGGCTATATATATATATATATATATATTTATATTTATATGTATACGTATGTAGACCTATGCACACGTTTATTCGTCGTACACGTCTGT